GAAGAATTTGCATCATGAGTTCATCCTGAAATAGGGAAAGCAGCGAGCTAGGCAGAAGTGTGTGGACTTGTTTCCCATTCAAAGCCCAGATAAAAGCCTATAAAATGCATTTCATTCATTTTCCTTGGGTTTGGTTTTCTTCTACGTTGGAAAAAAAAAAAAAACACAAAACTTGGGCTCCTCAATAATTACTGCCTGATGGAGTAAATTCCGAACGGAAATTATGAGATAGAAAACCTTTATCTAAGTTCAAATTAATAGTTCTTCAGGCTTCCAAGTCCATTTTCTGCAAAGAATGACTGTCCTAGTTGCCAGTTCCCTGATGCAAAGTCACTGTCATTCTTCTACCAACAAACCCAACACAAACAACACCCTCAAATCTTAGTTTTTTGTTTCCTTGTGGTGCAGAGGATCTGGTGTTTGTGGTTAAATTGCTTGATGAAGGCCCCACAGCTGATGGGGTGGGGGAGCTGGGATTGGAAAGCGCTTCAGTCTGACTCTAAAACCTCTGTGTTTTGGAATATATACAAAGCATATTCTCTCCTGTTAGACAAATTGTACAAGATTTGTCAGAAATACTGCGTAAAGATCTCTGTATCTTTACAGAGTAGAGACTCAGTGACCTCCCAAATTCTTCCTACCTCAGAGCTGGTACGAGAATGTAGGAACTATTTTTGAAGCATCCAATGATGCTAGACGCACATAAGATCAATTGCTTTTTCCTCTCCAACAGGGTTTTATGTTGTCACACAGTCATGACTGTAACAACTTAACATTTAATCTTTAAAAAGGTCATTAGAAAATTTGCTAAAAAGTACTGTAGCAAATTAAAAAATATATATACATATGTATATATGTATGTATACATATATATGTATATATGTATATATATTCATTATATATTATTATATTCATTCTATAATATATATTCATTATATATTCATTATACATTCATATATATTATATATATAATTATATAATTATATATAATATATAATTATATAATATATATTCATTATATATTCAATATATATTCATTATATATTATATATATTCATTATATATATATATGTATTCATTATATTCATTTTCCTTAAAATATAAGCAAACCTAACTATATGAGACAAAGCACCAAAACAGAAAGAATTCACTAAAAGGCTAGAGGTCTACCTTTTGTTTCGCTAATACCTCACATCATTCACCAATTACTTCATTTTTTTTTTTTTAAACTTCTTAACACTTCAGAGATGTGGTGCATATGTTTTAGCCCTATCTAATACTTAGGGAAACAGCATACATTTTTCTCAAGTCAAAGAATTAGTCCAGAACTTGCGTATCTGGCTCCCAGCTCCCTAGTTCCAATGTCACAAGTTGGTACCTCAACATTAGCAACTAAACTTGGGACAATTTAATATTGCCAAGGTCAAACACAGGGAAACAACACTATCCACCATGTGAGGATTATGAAGTTTAAGGGAGACCATGTCAAAAGCTCCTAGGCCAACGCCAACAACATGGTTTTTGTTGGGGGAGATGTGTGTTGACTACAGTTGACACAGCTGAGGCTCCTCTGTAGCTGAAAGTATTCAGGTTTTGCTGATCAAAATTCTCACTTTCCTTAAAATACAAACTTTGTAAATTGACTATCTAAATGGAGTTTGTAAGCTCTTGTGAGGAAGGAATTAACAGGAAACTAATTATATTTCTTTAAATAGTATACGCCTCTTGACCGTACATTGGGGGAATTGTTAATCACAAAAACTCTTGCCTTTTGAATGCATTCCTATCTCTATAATTTCCCCCATTGTGGTCTGCCTTGTTGAAACGCCACCCTACTCTTCATGGCCAAACCTATACCTCCTATTTAAAGGTCTAAAGCAATTACTAGACTTTATGCAAAAGAAACAAAATCCCCAAAAGATTCTATTAAAATAAGTTTGGGAAAAGAGAGTTAAACAAAACTAAGCAGTCTACTTTAATACAGGACTTGTCAGAGCCTTGACTTTATGTCACTCAGCCTTGTGACTCCAAGCAGGGCTCTACCGGGAAGAAAAAAAATGTTTCAAATTATTTGAATATAAAAATCCTTCCCCCCTTCACAGAACATTCTCCTGGAATTATTGTTGGAGCGCTTGTATTGGGAAATGTTGGTAGGACCAGTTTTAAAATTTTTTTTTTCAACGTTTATTTATTTTTGGGACAGAGAGAGACAGAGCATGAACGGGGGAGGGGCAGAGAGAGAGGGAGACACAGTATCGGAAGCAGGCTCCAGGCTCTGAGCCATCAGCCCAGAGCCCGACGCGGGGCTCAAACTCACGGACCGTGAGATCGTGACCTGGCTGAAGTCGGACGCTTAACCGACTGTGCCACCCAGGCGCCCCCATAGGACCAGTTTTTAAACTGAGTTCCAAGAAATCCTTGAGTTTCACAAAAATATCTCAGAAACCAAAAAGACAAAGAGGAAGCCGACTAAGAAGGACTCTGGCTCACCATATCTGCTTAAGTGAAAGCCATTTCTCTTTTGTGCTATAAATATTGAGCATCTGACAATATTTCCTTTGGAGAAAAGAAAACAGGCATGCTCTAAAAATATGCTTCAAAGTTTTAAAATATACCTATTATATGCTGAACTAAATTGGAGATGGCTTTACATATGCATCTTGCTTTCCTTCTAGAATATCACATTGTGCATACATGCCTTCAAAACTCATTTGTTGAGGGGCACCTGGGTGACTCAGTCAGTTGAATGTCCAACTTCGGCTCAGATCATGATCTCATAGTTTGTGGGTTCAAGACCCGTGTCGGGCTCTGTGCTGACAGCTCGGAGCCTAGAGTCTGCTTTGGATTCTGTGTCTCCCTCTCTCTCTGCCCCTCCCCAACTCATGCTCTCTCTCTTTCTCAAAAATAATTTTTTTTAATTAAAAAAGTTTTAAATTAAAAATTAAAAAAATTGTTGAATGAAAAAGCTTGCTTGATAGATTATTTTTCCTCTAAACAAAGTTAACAATGACATGCAAACTGATACACAACTACATTAGTGACATCTTTTGAAAAAATTATTTTTAAAAGATATAGCATAAGTAACTCATCCTAGAAAGAAAACAATGCAGATCAAAAATCATAAGAATTTCTCGTAAATTTACACTCTTTCACCCATGTTCTAACTATCCTTTGTCTCTAAAGAACAAAAAGGAAAGGCCAATTTCATAATAACCACTAAGTGACCATAGTTAGGAAATGTTTTCTTCTCTGTATCTTTGTTTAATCTCTTCCCTGAAAAAAGGGATGTCATTGTGCCTAGAGGCTAAATGTCTGAAAGACAGCCTTGTATATCTACGATCAGGAATGATCTGGATTTGCGAAAATCTCGTGAACCAGGGGAAGAGAGACCGACCCTTCCAGATAAAGATGTTACGTCACAAAAGTTTCCTAAGCTAATACACCCTCAGCTTCAGTGGATGGGCTGGAAAGGCCTCATTCCTCCAATTCCCAGTAGGAAAGGAGAATATCAGATTGTGCACAGAAAACATGCGCATTTGAACCCAGGATACACGTCAGCCATGGCTGAAGAGGGTTCACCGCATTACTCAACTTTCTAAAGTCTACGTTGTTTCTCCCAGTTAGGTCCAAAGCTCTTCAATCCTAAAATCTCTATTATGACTCTAAGAGTACGTTCCACTCTCTGAAGTCAAGTGAATACTCACTGATGCCAAGGAAGAAAAGGGTTAGGTCACTGTGAATTAAATGGAAACACGGAAAGGAAACGTACACATGGCCCAGCTCGTGGGCTATTGTGAAAGCCGTGCTCAGTCCACTGTCTTCACTAATAGAACAGCTTCGGTAGGGATCACAGATGGTACCCAGTTCAGCAAGACCTATTCAAAGGGGGGGAAAAAAAAAGAAGGAAAGAAGGACTGAGAATTGCTTTAAAAAGCAACTGTGGCTTGGAATAAAAACATGCGGTAGACTGTTGAAGCCACGGAGGATACACAGAGCACACTCACCTAAGGTGTCACATTTGTCATGAGCTCTGCAGATATCCTGTCTGAAAGCAAAGCAGACTTAGGGCCAGGATAATAGCAAAGAGTAAATGTCAACACAAGTAAAACACTTCCCAATCCCCTAGACATTCACAACAGCACCCACCTTGCGGGGCAGGAGGTTACAAAACGCCAACAAGGCCGAGGGTTTGCAACTCAAAAAAGCTTGGGAGCCAGTGACTTCCAGATTAAAAGCTACATCTAGCGGTCTTCTTCTGCCGCAGGGGTAGCCACAGAGCAAGTGAAAACCTCTCCAACTGGGACTGTCCCTCCCACAGCGGCGTGAGTGCTTCTAGTTCCTTTGGGAGCATTCCTGAGAAGGCTCTGGATGCCTTTCGTTTCAGTTCTTGTAAGAGTAAGCATTTGTGACTATATCCAAGGTGGCCAACAAGAAATACAGATAGGACAGCGCCCCTCTTGGTTGCCCTGCATGGCGCTTCAAACATTTTTGAGTTAGTAGCTGCCATTTACAAATTGGAAGATTTAAGGGGCGCCTGGGTGGCGTGGTCGGTTAAGCGTCCGACTCTTGATCTCGGCTGAGGTCACGATCTCACAGTTTGTGAGTTTGAACCCTGCATCAGGCTCTGTGCTGATGGTGCGGAGCCTGCTTGGGATTCTGTCTCTCCTTCTCTCTGGCCCTCCCCTGCTTGTGCTCTCTCTTTCTCTCTCTCTCTCTCAAAATAAATGAACTTAAAAAAAAAAAAATCCATATACCTCGTTACAAGAACAGCAGTGTCATGCTGGATTCCACCTGGATAGTTGGAGTGCTGCCACTGGCAAAAATTTCTTAATGTTGTCTGGGCGTTAAAAGATATGGAAGGTCCTTCCTAAATGCGGAAGAGAATTATGATTGGCCCATTGTGCCGACACCAATTAGATATGCCATTTCGGATACATATACAAGAAAGAAGAAAAAAAACTTTATTACCTGTTCATTATGAATCACAACTAAGTTCACAATAACAATATTAATTAAATTTCCAATACTTGGGTCTTTATAGATAGAGGCTACCTGCAACCGAGATAAATTTTTCAAGGTTAATTGTGAACTCTGTGTAAGCAATAAGCAATACACTTCTTACGCTGGGCTCCACCTCTTGCCACGTTTTCACGTAACATATGCATTTGGTAGTTCTGAATTTGCATTCATTCAACAAACATGTATTAAAACTCTCTTTGAAAAATTCACAGACAGCAGTTTCAGATGGTAATGAAACCTAACAAGTCTAAATTTCAAAGTGTTTTCCTTGGAAACTGCATTGCTACGCAACTTAAAAGTTTTCTGTGCCAAAGCACTGGATATTAATTTTCGATCACTCTTTCATCCCAGTTGAAGCCCCAGATTGCCCAATTATGGAATCTCACAGTGACCACGCGTTTGCTAATATTGCCATTCTTCATGTTTACCTCCCATTTGTGTTCCTCACAAGCTGGTAACCTGTTTTTTTTTTTTTTCCCCCAGTATTATCATTAATTATGAGAGCTAACATTCATTGAATGCCTGTTGTGTACCAGATCATTGCTGAAAACTGCACACACATTTGCATTTAGTCCCCACAGCAAAACTCTGAGCTGGGTATTATAATCTCTGTGCAACAAGTAAGGAAACTGAGGCTCAGAGAAATTAAGTAACTGTTCCAAGACTAGACAGCGGTGAGGAGCAGAGCCAGGCTCCATTTGACCCAGAGTCCGGGCTCAAAACTGAAATTCTTCTGAAAGGTCTGAACGTATAGGTTGGAAATGGACTTGACACAGTGCGAAGGCTGATTAGGTTCTCCTTTCCTTCCTCCAAGACAGGAGGGGGCTGGGGCACATGGGATTGAGTGTGGGGAAGGGGTGAGAGGGGAGAGGAGAGGGGAGGCTGGTTGAGGTGTGGGGTGGGGAGGACAAAGGAGTGGTTCACAGCAGTAAGGGGAAGGACAAAGAGAACCAGAGGCGAAGGTGAGAGAGGAAGAAATCCTAAAGCATAGTTCCCCAACACGGCTGCTTTTCTTATTCTTTTGAGGAATTTATTAAAAGTACATTCTTGTTTATATAACTTAGGGTCAGTCCATTGGAAGAAAAGCTATGTTGAGTCTTAAAATGAATGAGGGGAGATTATATGGGCTGCTAAAGAACAATTCCCAGTATTTTTAAAAGAAAAGAATAATATGTATAACACCGTATATTAATACTCCATTCTGGTTTGTAAAAAAGATACATATGCATACATATTCACCTAAGAAATACCTAGAGTTGTGTTGTCCAATATGGTAGCCATTTGCTACATGTGACCACTAAATACTAGAAATGTGGCTCATCGAAAATGACATGTGGGGTGCCCGGGTGGCTCAGTCAGTTCAGGGTCCAACTCTTGATCTCAGCTCTGGTCATGATCTCATGATTCCTGAGTTCGAGTCCTGCATCAGGCTCTGCGCTGACATTGCTGAGCCCGCTTGGGATTCTGTCTCCCTCCCCTCTCTACCCTTCCCTGCTTGCAGGCACACACACACACTCTCTGTCTCAAAATAAACAAACATAAAAAAATAAAATGATACGTGCTGTTGAGTGTAAAACACGTATTGAATTTTGAAGACTTAGTATGAAATAAAAGTAAAGTATTGCATTAGCAAGTTTTGAAACGAGAGTATTTTGATAGAAAATAAAATACATTATTAAAACTAATTTTACTTTTTTCTTTCCTCACAGAGTGGCTAGAAGATTTAAAAATACATACGTGGCTTGCATTATATTTCTACTGGGCAGTGCTGGTTAGAAACATATGCAAAAAAACCTTTTAATAGTTGTCGCCTCTGGGAAGGAACCAGGGTAGGGAAGGACACTTATTTTTCATTAATAGTCTTTGGTTCTGTTGGATTTTTTTTTTTTTTTTTTATAATGCAAACCTATTGATTTCTTGATTCAAACCAAGAGTAGGAAAATACAGGGGAGCGATTTGAGGGCCTCATCCCAGGGCTATTTCATTCGAATCTTGAGCAAGGGGACAGAGGCACATAGCTGCAGGTCAAAAAGCTCCAAGGTGATTCTGATTCACAAGAAGCACTCACAAGTCTTACGAGAGACCCGAACCCGCTTGTGCAAGTTTATATGTCACACAAAGAGCACTGGGTTTGGGACGTGGACACTCTACAGGTCACATGCAGTCTCTAAGCCCCTGATCAGCTTTACTTGACCACGGGCAAGTGACCTAAGTCCTCTGAGGCTCAGTTTCTCTGCAAAATGGGGGTGATAAGCTTACCTAGGAGAGTTGCCAGGAGGATTAGAAGTGCCACCTTGTCACAATGCAGCACACTGTCTAGCAGAATGAACATTCAGGACGGTAGCCCTTATTGTTCTGACAGAAAGGCAACCAATACATAATCTTAGGTTCTCTTCAGTCACTTGCCTGAATCGTTGAAATGCCAGCCCTGAGAAGGCTCTTCCACAGCACTGGGTGGAAACCCATTTCCCAAAGGCACATTTAAGGACCTCACAAACCACCTTCTTTTGAATGTACTTACAATTGACATTAAAGTTAAAATATAGTGCTGAAGGTTTGCTCCGTGGTATAAAACCATTTTGTTGTCTGCCACCACCATCACTTCTACAAACCGTGGGTAGGATAAAAAACGTTTTGTTCTTCTGTGGGTCCTCTTTTCCCTCGTGCTGTCCGTCTTGTTACCAGAGGCAGGCAGAGCCTTTGTTGCTAAGCTGCTTTTTAATACCGCCACATCGTCAGCCAGGCTACGCTTCTCTCCCCATTTTCTTGTTCTCATCTTCCTCTTGTCTTCACTGTGACTATTTTTGCGTTCTGTAACAAATCAGATGGCACATATTATGTTCCGAGCCACATCTATTTCATATTAAGAATGTAATTCGCCACGTCTTAAAATGATGCCTCTGTTGTCAAATTACATACAAAACCGGGTTCTACACCCTGTGGACTCCAGGGGAGAAACTCAATCTGCACTCTCATCTAAATGACGAAGGACCTGAAATGAGCCTCCCCGGAAGCTTCTATAAATGCTCACTTAAGGTATTAGAAAATCAGGCATGGGTTTAAGGGAAACAATTGCCTATGACTCTTTTCATTTAGTAACAAAGTCCTGCTGGGATTTAAGTGGTTTCCATTCATTGTTCTTTGCCACAGACAAAGGAAGGGCCAACACAGGTACTGAGCTTTAGAGAATGGAAATGGAGATGTCTCATATACACCACTTTTGATATCCAAGGAGCTACAAAATAAAGAGGCCTGAGAGGTGGCCAGGCTAACAGACAATACAAAGGAACTCTAGAAAACGCACGACAAGGTTATTTTTCTATTACTGTCTTAAATAACTGTAATACGTGAAAGGTAAGAATAGAATTACTGCTCTTTGTCGTCATTGAATTTTTAATTAATTTACTTCAGGGCTCAGCTAAGGAAGTGGATTAAATTCAGAGAGTATGAACGGGCCATTGGGGCCGTGATGGATAGTGCCAGAATAGCTCTACTCATTTCTGACTCTTGCCTAGGTACCCCGTCAGTTCTACACAGTCTTGCTGCTCAGAGTTTGGTCCATGGACCAGCACCATTGGCTGCTCCCACAAGCTTGTTAGAAATGTAGACTCTGGCCCCACTCTACACCTGATACATCAGAATCTCCATTTTAACAAGATCTCCAGGTGATTCATATTCATATGCATGTTTTGAGAAGCACGAGTCTGGAACATGGCTTGAAGTTTGTATTGCTGGTGGAAATAATTCAATTTTTTTTTTTTTTTAATTTTTTTTTTCAACGTTTATTTATTTTTGCGACAGAGAGAGACAGAGCATGAACGGGGGAGGGGCAGAGAGAGAGGGAGACACAGAATCGGAAACAGGCTCCAGGCTCCGAGCCATCAGCCCAGAGCCCGACGCGGGGCTCGAACTCACAGACCGCGAGATCGTGACCTGGCTGAAGTCGGACGCTTAACCGACTGCGCCACCCAGGCGCCCCTTAATAATTCAATTTTAAAGTCATCAACCACACAATAAACAGAATAAGCATAAATGTGCCTGCCCAAACAGGCTTGGAGTAAAAACAGAACTTGATCCGTGATGTTGCCTCTCATCTCATAAATGTACTCCCAGGTTTTAATGCCACCATCTTGTAGCCTGAAACAGGCAACAGAATTGTACAATGGACAAGTATGCTTACCTAAGACACGAGGGCTAGAATTTATTACGCCAATAACAAAGATTAAACTATAAGTGGTTTCACATTTGAAGGGTTCACATATTTGACCATGAAAACCATTGCTAAAGCAACTGATGGAGGCCAAGATGTGTATTTTGCCCACGATGAGTGTTTTAGCAGTTGTTACAATAGTGAAATTAGTCCATACTGTAAAACAAGTTATATGCGATTCGGCCATAGATCACATAACTAGCCCCAAGTCTGGTTCATAGTACGATTCAATATGACATCCTTTTGTTCGGGTCTCCTTCAAGTACATTCATATACGTTATACCCATGCCATATGGGTCATTGGGCTGTCCCTTTTTAAGTCATCAAATGACTATGGAATAGATATTAATCAAGTACCTACTATGGGCCAGGCATTGAACCAGGCTCTTTGGTGTATGTTACCTCACGCTTCCTTTTAGAATGAGAAAATTAACCTCTACTGAGGAAAATAAATCTCAACGAGATTGGGCAACTCATCCAATGTCACACGCAAGAAGTGGCCATACAAGGTATGAGATGTGAGTTTGATCACTGCCCTGAAAACTGCTTTATCGGGGCAAGATTTCTCAAGACCTGGGGATTGAAATGGGCTCATGGTTTGGTTGCATCTCAACTGAAAAAAAGAGAGCACCTGGATATTTTCACAAAGACTAGCTCTTTACGGAGGCCATGTTGAAAATGGAATGCTTTTTAATATTAAGAAACTGTCATTTACTTTATGAGAAACAAATAATCCTGGTTAATGTCTTCTGTAAAAGCTTAAGACAATTATTGAAATCAGTAAAGTTTCAAAGGTTTTAGAGTCTCTTTCTTTTCTACTATTTCATGAATTTGTACTCTACTATTTTCTTCCATCTACATACAGTGGTTTCGTGTTCTCTTCCTTTTCCAGTGTCTTAAGGAGAAGGTACGATTACTGATCTGAGATATTCTTTCTGAATAGAGCCATCGATGGTGCTAAAGTTCCCTCTAGCTCTGCTTTACCTGTAACCCAGACATTCTGATATGTTCTATCTTCACTCTCGTTCACCTCCAAGTATTTTCCAACCTCCCTTTTGACCTATTGGTTATTTCAGCGTGGGCCGTTTACTTTCCACATTGCTTTGAGTTTCCCACTTTTTAAATGGTTTGGATTTCTACTTTCATTCCACTGTAGTCAGAGAATTACCTCTGTATTACCTCTATCCTTTAAAATTTATTGAGTTTTTTTTATGGCCTAGCATATGATCTATTCTGGAGAATGTTCCTTGTGCACGTGAGAAGAATTTGTGTTCTGCTGTTGCTGGGTAAAGTATCGTATGGGTATCTGTTGGGTGTAGTTGGTTTACACTGTTGTTCAAGTTTTCTGTTTCCTGTTGATATTCTGCTTCCCTGGTCTAACCATTATAGAATATGGGGTGCTGAAGTTCCAAGAGTTACTGGTGAATTGTCCATTTCCCCCTTTATTTCTGTCGGTTTTTGCTTCAGGTATCTTGGTGCTTTGTTATGAAGTGCATCTATATTCATTATGGTTAAATCTTCATAGTGAATTGGCCCTTTTTTAAAATTATAAAACACTCTGACAAGCTTTACTGTATCAATAAAGTAATGTGAAAGCGGCCAGTCAGTATATGATTCCAGTCATATGAAATGTGACAACAGGCAGAGCGAAAGAGACAGAAAGTAGATTAGTTGCTGGAGGTGGCGCAGGGGTGTGAGCGGTTGATGGCTAAAGGGTATGCTGTCTCTTTTTCAAGTGATAAAGATGTTCTAAAAGTGACTGTGATGATGGTCGCACATATCTGTGAATGCACCAGAAGCCATTAAATTGTATACTTTATTTTTTTATTTTTTTATTTTTTAAAAATTTTTTTCAACGTTTATTTATTTTTGGGACAGAGAGAGACAGAGCATGAACGGGGGAGGGGCAGAGAGAGAGGGAGACACAGAATCGGAAACAGGCTCCAGGCTCTGAGCCGTCAGCCCAGAGCCCGACGCGGGGCTCGAACTCACGGAGCACGAGATCGTGACCTGGCTGAAGTCGGACGCTTAACCGACTGCACCACCCAGGCGCCCCTAAATTGTATACTTTAAATGGATGGATGGGATGGTAGGTGAATTAGATCTCAATAAAGCCGTTTCAGAAAGAAAATATGTCAGTTTGTGAAAAATAAATAATATTTACTTCAGGTCTTCCTTAAGTATTTTGATTTATCAGGTTTAGTTAGAGAAAAGTATACCTGCAGTGAGAAAACCACTCAGGAAATTCTGTAAAGAATTCACTCTTTTTGACCACTGAGCGGGGAAAATACACTCTCAGAGAATCAACCATCAGGGGACTGGCACATGGAAAATCTGAGGAGGAACTGAGTCGGAGGAGGCACTAACTGGAAACAAAGTACACTTATTTAAATAACAAAGCTGAAGAAATCAGGCATTTAGTCACAAAGAGACTACAGTGTATAACAGAGAACAACACACGAAAATTCTAATATTCCTGGAAGACATCTCATTCACAAGTAATCTGTATATCAAAGAAATAATTCAGTAGGCTTTATGTGGCATGAACAAGCAGGAATAAAATGACTTCTTCGGAATCAAAAACAACATCTTCTCATAGATAATACTTCCCAGGCTTTGACCCATCTGATCTTTTACCCTAATCAGTTAGAATCCTATTTGATGACCTAATTGGCTCGACTAATTCCAACCACATTATCCATTTTAACAGGCAATTTTTAATTTAACATTAAAAAATAGTATGAGCTTTAAAGATTCAGGTATTCATAATGACTAAAATGCATGGACGTTGTTTTACTGAGAACTGAAAACACAGGAACTGTAACGTGCATACCTACAAATAGAATCTTTTTTTTTTTTTAATTTTTTTTCAACGTTTTTTTATTTATTTTTGGGACAGAGAGAGAGACAGAGCATGAACGGGGGAGGGGCAGAGAGGGAGGGAGACACAGAATTGGAAACAGGCTCCAGGCTCTGAGCCATCAGCCCAGAGCCTGACGCGGGGCTCGAACTCACCGACCGCGAGATCGTGACCTGGCTGAAGTCGGACGCTTAACCGACTGCGCCACCCGGGCGCCCCTACAAATAGAATTTGTAATAACAGCCAAGGATTTCTGCCAAGGGACATACAGGATAAAAAGAAAGTTGTCCACATTTCTCTTTTATGACCTGGTCGCATCATAGAACTGAGGCTAGTGTTTCCAATTTGCAATGTTACTTTCCTACCAGTTTTATCAGAATGGGCTCCATAGTGAAATTTCACCCTGGTGGAAAGCACAGGACAAAAGGCACATTTTTGCTCTTCTGTCCCCTCCTCCCACCACTCCCCCCAAGAAGCTTTACATGTATTAGTACTTTATGTTGAGATATAATTTGTTTACCATAGAATCCACCCTTTCAAAGGGTATAATTCAGTGGTTTTCTTGAGCATATTCATAAAGTTGTGCAACCATCACCATTATCTGATTTCAGAACATTTTCATTGCCCCATAAAGAAGCTCTGTACCCGTTAGTGGGCACTCCCCACTGCCCTTCTCCCTCTAGCCCCTGGAAATCACTAACTTATGTATCTATGGATTTGCCTATTCTCTCATGTCATACG